TCACAATTTTACTTTGTTTTTCACGTCTTTTCCAATAATCGCATTTCATTAATTAAGCCGCTCTGACATTTTGTTAATTAGAATATTAATTGTAGCGTTGTAATTAAATTGCAGCATATACAGTGCACACACATCTCGCGTTATTACTTCAGTAATACCTGCGTCAGATTACACGATGCTACCTGCATGATAAGGCTATTGTGCTAGACGATAAGCCATAATAATGCATCAGCGAATTTTATCCATAAATGCAAAGGTCGGATAATCGGCGCATGAGGAAGCTTATCGACTCTTTTAATACATATACGATGATGATAACAAAATAACCGTTTTCAAGTAGTGATAACATTTAGAGTAAACTTTTGAAAAAATATTCTATTTACCTGTAGAAAAAGAAAAACCACTTTCTATTTTATATCTAAATATTTTTTTAAATTTCGCAAATGTCTCCACAAGTTGGGTCTACGAATACTCCTTTCGAAATTATTACCTTCAACTTTCTCCATGCTATGTTCTCAATTATTCCATCAGGATTCTGAGCCGTCGATTCTATTTTCCGTAAATGCGCAGCTGTTCCACAAGGGACAGAATTGGCGGTCGGCATTATCTCGTTCACTCTATGCCTCCGAGGGGCTGGATTAATTCCGCCGACGATCGAGCATATTTCGCTAATAGTTCGCGATTCGTCAGATCGTCACTTGAACGCCGAATTGATCTTCCATAAGGACGCGTTTCGCCGCATCGCTCACAACCGTGCGATCGTCGGATCTGATGGGATATTTTATTTTGCTGAAAGGTCAGGTTTATCGTATGCTGCAGGGGCACACGCCAACCCTAGCGCGGCGGTCAGAGATAACAGGGCGAGGGAGACGGTGATTAATACGGCATAACGTAGCGGACGCGGGCTAGCCAGTAGATTTAGTCTTGGCTTTTACCAAAAGTGGGTCGCCCACTTTTCGGCGATGCCCGGTCAACCAATTAAAACGCTACCTTCGGCTACCTTCCTTCGACCTATTCCAATCAACTATGTCAGTCGGTTAAGCAATTAAAACGGTGTTATTTCGGTACTGCATATCTATACGCGTTACAGTTTATTTTCAACGATTCCTGTTCTAAATCTGTTATGCATACATAATGTATTAGCGTTTGAAAATTGCTAAGAAGATACTCGATCAAATTCTCGTTAGGAAAGAAAAAGGTCAGCTTTAAATTTATTAACAAAAAAGTTATCCTATATGAAAACTGCAAAGTGCGTGTGAGACATTTGTAACGCGCGGTAGATAAAGTACCATATAGAGACTCTTTTTCTATTCTTTTTTTGTTCTTTCCAATACTTTGTAAAATAGATCTCGATATTACAAGTAGTTGAAATTTCATTTGTCCAAAATTTTTTAATTTTTTAATCGCCTCTAACGTTTTCTAAGATCGAAATAACCGTCGTTTCTCTTCGCTCAATTAAAAGAAAAAACGGTAAAGTCCGATTGTCAGATATATCCACGGCTACGTGAACGCTGGTAATCGATCGGCGCGGCGGTTCGCCGCGAGTTTATTGAGATCCTGGACGTTGGTCAGGAACAAATCCCGGTGGATTGTCGTTTCCAGGCCTCGCCGTCTCATCCTTCTTTCTTCTTCATCGTCCTCCCACGACGAAACTCTCCACCAGTCTACTCGAAGACCTCATCTCGGGACGAATATCGAACGGTTTTCCGATACTTTCGGCCTCCGGATTGTGACTTCTTCCTCTCCTCTTATTGTCCGCGCGATTTGTACCGACGACAGCGCAATACCCTGCAGTATTCCACCGCCGCGTTCACTCTTTTCTGCCATTGTCGGCTTCACGAAGCCCGAGAAATTCTGACGGAAGTGAAATGACGGCTATTGACTTTGAGATTAAGCGATCCTTGCGCGACGGCTATATACGACGGCCAGGCACGATATAAACATTCATGCTCGTACACTCACACGTCCACCGATAAATCGAATTTAGCTCGAGAGCTTTTGTCCAGACGCTATAAAAATAATGAATGGCCGAGGGAGGATAATTGAAATTGTTAAGTGCGTGGGATTGGATAATAACTCGATAATACTGGAATTAACAGTTGTTATCGTAATCATTAAATAATATATTGTATGTTTATTTAACAATCAATTATCATGTAAGGACTGATTACTAATTTTGTTATTAAAACTTCACGATACTACCTCGTTTGTTGAAAATTCTCTTTAAACCTTTTAAATTCTACGTCAGCGCAGCTTTCGTTACCTAAAAGATTTTGTAATTTCCTGGAAGGAAAAATTAATCTCCCCACTAATCGCCGTAACCTTTCACCTTATTGAATGCTTGTATTTAGAGAGTTCTGGGAGGGTAGAATTTCGTTTACGTCACGGTAGACGGTATATCATATTGTTTTTTTGCGAATATAAAAATATACAAAAGAAATAAGCAGGTTTTTTCAAATATCTCATTGTCAAGTAATATTTATTAAGAAATATCTTATCATAAATCATTTTATTAATGTAATAAGTTTTTCATCTGAAGGAATATATTTACACAAACATTTATCATCGATGTTTGGTGTATAAAATATTTTTGTCGCAATAAAATGACTCTTGTGCTATCGACGAAGAATACACAGCATCACATGCGCGGGGGTGTTACAACATCACCGTGCAGTCATGCATTTGGCAACGGCCATAATTTTTTTCGCGTTCGTACGTGTACATACCCGTGAAGCGTACATAGCTGGGAACGAAAATGTGGGCCCCCACCGGCTTTGTCGACGCGCGCTGATCTCCATTGTTGGGGAGACCGAGAATTGCAGAACCGCGAGTATTCCGCGCTCTGTGCAGATCCTCCTCGAGTCGAGAGTCCGACCGCGTTACAAATTTCATGCTTGTACTTGCTCACCGTCCCACCGCATTGCACCACGACGGCTTGAGCGGCTTCCTTCCTGTCTCTGAATTATCCAACGTTGATGTTGGAAGGTAGCTAGCAATGCTAGCATTTAATTGGCGAGCGACCGTGATCCCGGGGATGTCCAACGAGCATTCCTGAATTTCGGACGTAATAAATTTCGCAAAATTATACACCCAGTGTTAAAACAAAGGATTCAAAATTCCGAGAATGCATTCACGTTCTTTATTCTAAATTTTACATTCTTTCCTTCATCGGCACCGAGTCGAGTTTCCGTTAACGATGCTAAACAAACGTCGGGATGTCAATTAAGTCTAGATATATCTCAGAAATGCGTTCTCGAATTTTTTAGATCTTTTTTATTATATATCTTTTTGTATATGACGTTTAATCGCTGTTTAAAGATCCTTCCATTTAACCTTCAAACAGTCACTGAAAAAAAGAGTCAGAATATTTTGCTCGTAACGACATTTTAAATAATCGTGCCCCCGACATCAGTACGAAACGTGATCGCAATTTATAACTCCTTTATCGAACGATGACACGCGTTATTTACAGTCCGATATAGCAACTAGTGTCAAACGAAGAGCGAATCCAGTTGCCGTTTGGTAGTGAAGATGCGATCGTTCTGTCTGCTAATGTATGGGGCTCCTATCTCTTAACGGAAATCTAAACGACCGAGAGAGACGTTCTACGCGTATCGTTTCGTCAAATCACCAACAATGCCGCGTATATTTAAATGGCCGGTGGATTCAAAAAAGGTCGCGAAAGCTCCCCTTTGCATACTAAACGCCGCATTATCCCGACGCTGCAATAACGTTACCAATACGGGAGGAGCGCAACGATACTCCGGGCACGGTACGCGTGATAGGCGTGCAGCACACATACCAGCACAGCTATCTCATAATGGTTCCTGAGATGAATATCGAAGAAAAGTCGTACAAGGGCCAAAGGACTTCCTTACATTTCTTCCCTGAAACTTTCGTAATAACTTTCGTAGGAATTTCCTTGATTTACCGATGGACTTTTCTTTCCCCTACGTGCAAAAATTTACTAACTTAGAATTTTCTAAGTTGGCGTTTTTTTGCAAATAAAAATTTATTAAAGATGATATATTAGAAAATAATGAGGCATTTTATATTCTACATCTAATTTGCTTTTAAACACCGGGAAATTTTCAACGAATAGTATTTTATACGTTCGTATACGTTTATCATTTTATTCCCAGCTCTTATTCACATGTTGCTTAAAAGTTAAGCGAAACAGTTTATATTTTCAAAATCGTTAAATAAAGCTTGTTAAAAAAGAGATAAAAGTCCCTGTTTATAATGATGTTGAGGTAGTTAAAAATACCAACAACTTTTTTACCACGATACGCTTTTAGACTCGGAATATATTTTGTTGCGAGATAATCTATTATAATCTGTCTATTATATTTATATATACCTATACAATGCGTTTTAAAGTACCGAATGACAATCTAGATTCTTTATCAGTATCATAGTGTAATATCAATTTAATTAACTATTACGTTTGTAACTATCTGAGATTCGAGTTTAATATCTTCTGAAGTAAATCTCAAATAAAATTTTTGTTGAAATAAATTATTTCAGACTAAATGTAGTGTGTGTTACACTGAGGGAAAAATATTGTAGAATCAACAAAACAATTTTGTTGACTTTTCAATTTATTGATCCAATTATTTATTTTATTGAATTAAGTACACGTCTATTATTTGAACAAAAAGAACAAAATATTTTGTACAAATATTTTGTTAAGCCAATCAAATCAAATCATCTGCTTGGCAACATACAATCTTCCGGTTTTATTAAATCAACAAATTTTTTTTTTTTTTTTAAATAATTATTTCTCTCAGTGTATATAATCTCACTTTTTCGAAATTCGAATTATCAAAAGCTCGATAATTGTATTCTTATTAACAAAAAGTTATTTCAATTTCTCAAAAACTCTACCCTCGAGACTAATTAATTAAACAATTTGCCGCTGATGTATCTGCATGTTTCATCAGTGCATCGGTTTTCGGCGCTCGTTCCTAAAATAACCAGTAAGATGTGTGTTGTTTCAGGGGTATCTGGCAAGGACGTGAGCGCATGGCCGAAGATCCCGTGTCTGAGAGGCCGCACGTCTAGCAAAGGCGGAAGCGGTGCGGGAGGGCCGCACGTAGGCCCGCCGCAATGTCCGCACTCCGTTTTGAGCAGCACCCGCAGCTCCGTTAGCAGCTCGCCTTTGAGCCCGTGCCCGACGCCCATGCCCTTCCTGGTGACCTCGGGCTCCGTCAGGTGAGTACAGCTCACATCTTCTAATATATATACGTCATATATAAGTTACCCCCGGTGACACGCCTAATACCGAAATTCGATTTATTAGCGCCAAGCTTGGCAAAACCGACGGATTTCAAACTGCGTTATAATAGAAAATATATATCACTGTAAATGTCACACCGAGTGTAAAAATAGGACGCGTTCCTGAAGTTTGATATTGGGTTTTAGAAACGTCTTTCTTGCCGATTTCGGCGTCGTAATATTTTTTTCATGTTTTTCTTTATCAAACAATTTTAAGTTTGCTTTCTTCCTTTTACCGAACTCAGAGCTAGGTATTTATTTCCCGCGTGGTTGTCTCGAATAAAGCTCAGCCTGACTTGAATTTCTTATCGAAGAAACATTGCGAGAAGCAATACTTAGCGATAAGGCCTTCCGCAATTATGTAAATTCGCAGAACATTGCAGAGTTCCGTTTTCGACATAACAGCGACATCGCTGTCGCTCGCGTAAAGGCCACGTCCACTCAAAATAGGTTTTATACATATTTTATCAGACGTTATATCCAGCCATGAGACAAACATAGCTCGGTAGTGTAAGTCGCACAAAGTTCATCCGGGCGGTAGTCAATGTACGTTTTAATTCATTGCTGATCCATTATAATTTCCTGCCACGTACGTCAATCGTCATATTGATTCCTTGATTTTCATCGCCAGAAGCGCGTGACTGATGAGACAAATGACTTTTCTATGACTTAATCATGACTTCAGGGAAGAGATCATTTCGATAAAATATTTCTTGTTTAGTGTTATTACGCTTGACAATCAGTCCATTAATAATAATTTAATAAATCCATGATTATATATTGCATCCAAGCATTCAAAAGGAATTTATACTTGTTCTTAAAGCAATTAAATTTATAACAAATTGCTTCTCATCGGTGATATTGAATTTATTTATTCAACTGCTTTTTTCCTGAAATAAAAAAAATGACAGCAATATCGCTGCATTTGATATTAAAGTAACGATCGATGAAGGTACGATGGCTAACGCTTCCTCTTTTATTTATGCAATCATTTTTTATCGTCTGGCATAATGTGACAACAATTGATGTTGTGGAAACTGGAAAAACCCGGAAACGCGTTTGCAATATTATGTTACATAAATAATGTTATATATATGTAATACTGTATTTATTTTTCAACTAATAATATCTGTGCTATTCTACGCTATCTACGATAAATTACTAGAAACACTTGTAGGTTTAATTAAAAACCTTAAAAACCTTTTTATTTGTTTTTAATAACTTTACTCTTAAGAATATTAACGAAGCATTAACGAGTTGTTAACTTTTAATTGCGATCTTCTACACTCGCTATAACGGTTACAGTTATTTCCGATTATAATGATTTTCGTTAATATAATGTGAGTGCAAGAGTCATTAGCAACTTTTTAATATCACTTGTTGTGAGAATTTTATAAGACTAATATTATGGTTTTATACTTGCAAATTTTTTATGTATAAATGCACAAAGATAAATTTTGAAGCGGTAGCTTTCAAGTATTCTATAGTTATATAGAAAGTATTAAATTATCATAATATACACAAAGTTTCTGAGTATCATCTCTCATCTTTTTTTTATGCGAATAAAATATTCTACGCTGCTTAAGGTAAGCCGTAAAAGTAACGCGAAGCAGGCGAGATAAATGCGCTATAATTTTATGATGCGTTGGTGCCGACTCATAAATTGGAACAAACATATTACCGGTAGATAAATGGAATGAGAACAAGAGAAAGCCCTTCTTTTCCGCGATATATGAGCGCGGCCGTTTAAGGGATAAAGCTATTTTACTCAGAGTTATGAACTTGCACAAAACTTGCTGTTCAGCTTACGCCAAGTTTGGAATATTCTCTCCAAAAATTGTATACTTTTAATCTTAAAACGTATTAAATCAATCTCTCTCTATATATAGATATAAACAAATAGATCTCAATTTTTGCAAAAATCTGTAAATCTGGTAAAAGCTTCTGTTAAAAGCTAAATTTGTTTTATTTATCAATCTATCCTGTTCCATTTTCGACGAAAATTTTTCCAGAAGACCTAAAGGATGTCCCTTCGCGAGGAAACCGATCTTTCCGAAAAGTTTGCGCAAATTCAGCGGATGTGAGCGGAGTAGCGAGTTTGTCGGATATATAACTTCGACATCCTGACATGCCCCGCTCGGGTCTGAATGAATAATTCATGGCATCTCTCAAAGCATTCAGGGCCCCCGCTGCAATATCGATAACCATCCACTTTGATCAACTATTTCCCGTCCCGTCGTCCGATAATCGTTTCGCGAATTCCCGCGGCACGAATGCGAGATACATTGGAATCTATCGCCGTCTATCGCAGATAAGCAGGCTTGTCGTTAGTCAGCGTTATACGCTGATAAATGTTTTTATGTACTTTATACATTATATTTTTTACCTTTGTGCATTTATATAAAAAATTCATAAATTAATTTAAAACCGATTTAATAATTTTTTTCATTTTAAAATTTTTCTGTTAAAATATTCAAACGTATTAGTAATTTTTAATGGCCTTTAATAACTTTTTGCGATTCTAAAAATACACATATAGCAGAAAATAATATTCTTTATTTACTTAGTTCGCTGTATAAATAGATTTTAAATTTAGTAAAATTTTAATTTTAGAATTTAATTATCGAAATGTTTAACATTGGATACGGAAAAGAAGCGAAATCTTTTTTGCGAAGCGAAAACTACAAAGAACAGATTAGTCAAACTTGATTCGAGGTAGTCAATAATGTGACACGTATTTCTTTGTAAAAGAACAAGATATTTTTTTTTGGATATCCGCTTATTTTTGTCGCGATATTTCTAACGGATAATATACCGTTCCGCATGCCTTGCGTTTTAATCGTGTTTGGAGAAATTCTATGAAGAAATCGCTTATGCCGTTACGCTCGTGGTCGCGTTTAAATCCTTAAAATAGTCGCGGCTCTTAGTAGAACGTGGGACAAGAACGAGACGTTCTTTTCGCGTCAGCGAAGGGCACAAATGCCCCGCGTGTAGAGGCAAATTGAATGCGTAGGTGTATCTATACAGCGTCCGTACTTATCGAAGCTATCGATTGGCTCTTTTGCTCCGCTCTCAAACTCAGGAGGCTTTTCGTCAACTTGACAAACGTTAACGGCGCGAACGAGGCAGAGGCGGAAAGAGGGCGAGAGTGTGTGAAATCCATATATATCTGTTATGTAAGCCGTGATACGTGTGCGAGTTTTCATATGTCGGCCTGCAGATTTTTCCGCGCTCTCTTTGGAATCTCTCGTCTATAAGAGCGCAGAATCCGTGCATTTCGTATTCCTCATCATATATTGATAAAAAATATCTTCAGCTCCTTTTTATATTGATGACGGGAAGCTAATCGCGTTTTGGTATAAAGAACAGTCAGTTCTCCTCGTAAATTGGAGTATTTATAACAGTTTTTTTTTAGAGGCATGATCGAAGTTGGATTTAATAGCGCGTTTTGGCGTGTACGAATGTGAGAGTGCCATGATTAACGTCTTGCGTGCAGCATTAATCACGTCTTCGTAACGATCCGGTAGAACCTTGCTCCGGGGCAACGAAGTGTAAAGTTCTTAAGAACTGCTATGAAAAAAAGAATAGATTCTATGCGTCATCTCGCGGTCATTAGGCATATTTAATCGAGGACTGACGTACACGAGCAAGTTGCACCGTACTGAAACTGTGCACGAATATTTCGAGAGTTTCTTTCTCATTCGCTCTAACTTATCTTTATGGAATTTGACAATGTCATTTTTTTTCCGAGGTTTCTCTCAAAATTTATTTCCATATAGCAATGTTTTTTTCTCAAGTTAGGTGCTTGGAACGAGACTAAAACCCAATTAATTTTTTCCATAAAGACTGTTACACAGTTTCACATCTCTCAAAAAAGATGCAATAAATATTTCTTGTTTAACTTTTCCGTGACAACTTTGGACAATTTCAAAGCTATCGGAGAAACTCGAGAGAATTGGTTTATCTCTCTGTAGGGTCGCTTCATTCCCTAAAATCCGCGCGAAGTTTCAAATCTGTTTGAGTTTACGGGTCGCCAAACTTCTCTTGTTAGTCTCCGAAACCCCTCGGCTAAGTGATTCACTTGTATTCCGCGAAACGTAAGAACAAAGTCACACGTTGAGTCCACCCTTGGAGACACGTTCGGAAAGAACTTAAGGGTTAAGACAGACGAGCCGCGTGCATGCCTCTGTGGGCAGCCTAATTGGCAATTAACCGATGTCCGTGTTCCAGTAGCGGCATGGTGCAAAGCGTCGGGGCCAATTTATCGCCGGCCGAAACATTCGGATCGATCCGGTCGCTTTCGGTGACGAGGGAAGTCGCCAGTTTCCCTCTATCGCGGACGCCCACGCCGCCCCCGCAGCACAGGTAGGTGAATGCCGTTTATTTTACTTGATTCCGATGTGTATATATTTAAATACGAACACCGATAGTGCGGGCAACGCACTTCGTGAAATAAATTCAGCGCCTCCGCAAATGAAGCAGTCTCTAATTTTAGCACAAATTGAATGTGGTAATGTGAAAATTATTCATGTGAGTCACGTAATAGTTCAATAAATAAATACGAATTCCGACGAGATTTCTAATAGTTCCACTTGTTCATTTATTTATGCTAAAGATAGCACTATTAAAATCGGTAAATGTTGAAGCATTATTAATTTAGTCAATAAATGTTAAAGGTATAGCATTATTGACTACGTTTACGCGGCTGCTTGTAATCCGGTTTAATAACTATTGTTGTATACTATCTGATACATAATTTTTCTTCTTTTGATTATAACGATTATTTAAATATAAACCTATTTTGATATTCTAAACATTTGAATCAATTTTTTATATCTATATCAAAATTACAACCTATTTTGATATCTATACTAAAAAAATTGTAGTTTAATCGTAGTTTATAAAAAAAGGCTCATATCTAAATGATTATTATGATCAAAAAAGAAAAATTTTGAATCGGATAGTATACGGTAGTTATTAAATTGGATTATAAGCCGCTGTGTAAACGCAGTCATTAATTTAGTCAATAAAATGCATGAATTTTCTGCCATTGTCCTTTAACCCCCAGTCCATAAGATCGATGCCTATCGTTTCATATTTCGAAAAGAGTGAATTTGCAATTATTAGAAATTATTAGAAACTAAACTAAATCAATAAATATATATTACATCTTAACGGATCTATAACGAATTTAAAAAATCCTAAAAACGAACAAAAGAAAAGATTAATTTATTCAGACCGAGTTTATCTGATGAAAATGCACGAAATATACATCTGTCTTACGGACTGACGGGTTGACGCGGCCGAGGCGAACGTACGCGACACTCACGAGACGAACGGCGGTCGTCGTTGCAGACCGTCGGCGGTATTGGCGACGAACCCCGAGGAGCTGGTGGGCGTCGGTAGCCCCCTGAGGGAGGCTTCACCCAGGCCGGAGGTGCGCGTGGTCGCGCCGTCCCATCGGCCACTACCGACGTCCGCCCTGGCCGCAACAAACCAGGTCGTCTCCACGGCGAACCGAAAATCCGTCAGCATACTGCTACCCGAGCAGAGCGGATGACAGCAGCAACAGCAGCGACAGCAGCAGCAGTTGCTGCATCAGCAACAACATAAGCAACAGCAGCACGGCTTCGTGCACCGTTGCGACGAGCAGCCGCTCTCGATCTAGGAGAATCTTCTCGTTCGTCGAGGCTGCGACGATGAAAACGACGCGTCTCGCGTTACACGCCGATCCGATTCGGGTAACTGAGAATTAATTGATCTCGTCACGTTTCTCGTCCGCCCCGATCTCGGGCACGGTCTCCGCATATACGATGCATGAGTAAAACTGTCTGACGAACGACGGAGGTGAGTGATTGATGACTGGTTAACGTCGGTTAATGGTCAAGCTCGACCGGCCAAAACTCCGTTTTAAGTCTGACCGTTTTAGATCGCGATCGACCCGCAAGGACCCCGAGAGGGCTTGAACTATCGTCGACATTAGGAAACGAGGGACCTCGTGATGAATCCTTCATCACTTTTTACCGCTTGATTAACGATACTCTATACGCGAATCAATATTTTAAACGATACTCTATACGCGAATCAATATTTTAAACTATCGTGAATTATCATTGCTTATACGGAGACATTGTCTGATGATATCTCGACTAGAAACCGTGCTCGGTGTCTCCATATAGTCTGATACTCGATGGAAAATCGTCAAATTACATCGCACAGTTTCATTACGTAATTGAAAAAAAAAAAATACGATTGCTGGGAATTTTCCAGCACTATGCAGTAATAATATTCGAAAAATAACAATGACATTGAAAAATTTTGCGTTTTCAAGCTGTGGCAGAATTGATCGCGCTTATGTTTACTTACTCTGTCGCATTGTTAGAGCGTTATTGTGCATTGTTAATCATCTAAAAATATACACAGCACTAATCAGAAATGCTATTTGACACGCATCTTAACCTTCGAAAATTACATATTATTAACAAGCATCATAGTGCAAACACAATGATGTGTTGTGTGGAAATCTACCAGCTAGATAAAAATATAGAACTGTGGTTTAAGAATTCATCTTTTGCTTGGAAAGCAAAATAAATGAATTTTCACCGAGAAAACGTATAAAATTTATACGTTCGTACCACGTTCGTTTGTTATTTAATTAAAAACACGTTGGTGTTTATTTTATACGTAACGAAATTTGCATGTTTTACTCTACAATTAACAAAAACTATTTCGCAAATTAGACTTGACTCACGGTACTTTTGTGCGGCCCGTCGATAAAATAATTTTGATAAACATTTACAAGCTTCGATTGTTATTATTGATACGCTTTTTCTTTCTTTTTTAGCAATTATAATAAAATAAAATATTAGCGGTTATAATAAAAATGTGCAAGTATTTGCGCATATATCGAAATATTGAATTTTTCAAACATCGTTATATCTCTTTTGATCTCACGACAGCGAAAAGAAATGAATATCTGAGCTGTTATTTTGGATATTGGATAATTTTTTTAATAAAAAGAAACAATAATTTATTTATGTTAGACAGATTATTCTACATTATAAATATGGAATTGTAATATGTTAATTTTTGGTTTACTTTTTATCGCGAGATCGTAATTTTGCGAATGCATGTTCGCGAATTAATACCATACGCGAACATCATTTGCCTCTTTGCGCATTAAGGACGTACTATTCTCAGCAGGGCGTCCCTTTCTCGCGCATCGAAAGGGCTAATGTCTGGGGAGGGAGACACCCAGCACGGTTTTGCACTATCAGCGCATTAATTAAGTCTCAGTTATTCTCGACTCGCAATCGAGCGATACGCCTTCCTATTTACACTACCGCCAAGCTCCACCGTCTCGAACATTTACATCCCGGTAGATATTCGTCGCAACGGGGCGCGTTTCTGGCCAAAAGTAGTTCTTAAGGTATTCTCGCGCGCGATTTACCACGACCCCTCGAGACATCAAACACACGATCCATCGAAGTGAGAGAGGTCGAGATTAATCCGAGTCCCCTCCTCTCCTTGTCTTGCTCTTGCTCCTTTCACTCCTCTTTAGCCCTCCAGTACTGAAACGCGGTCTCGCGGATTATTAGATTTTTGTCACACCAGCGGTTTGGGATCAGCGAATAAATACGTTTGCACGTTGTTTATTATTACATTTTTTATTCCGCACTCTGAAAGCTTAATTTATCAAATTTTTTTAACAGCAACGTAAAGTAAAATTCTGAAAAATAGCGACGTTGACTAACAAGTTGTAAGACAAGTATCCTAAACCGCATTTATCAGCGTAGGCGCTATATATTCACAGCATCTTTTGCTGACTCAACTTCCAAGAACGTCTTTGGTATTGGAGGCAGGCTGGAGGTCAACTTTCCCTCTCTCTTTCTCTCTTTCTCTCTCGCGACCAAATCTCCGATATCGGTCACGGGAATCGATATCGCGAGAGCGGTGAAAATTCTCGATTGATTCAGAGAGATAGGTAAATACGTTAACTAAATAGATAAACCGGTGCGGAGATGGCACGGATGACGCTGGCAGATGTTCAAAGCTTGCCTAGACGGGTCGATGAGATTTTCGGTCCAATTCGCGCAGGATTGAGATGACGCTCTTCTTTTTAATCCAGACGGATTATCCCCGACCTGGTTCATCTGATTCAACGAAAAACACCTAACCCGGCATTTACGCTAGGTAGTACGACAGATTTCCCGGTGCGATCCAGCACGTCAGTTCAGCCTTTTTTCCTCGGCATTTGCATTAGCTTGAAATAAATTGGCTTTCGTAATAACTTGACACTTTTTGAAAATTTGTTTAGTAAAATATGATGGGAATTATAATTTAGAGAAATTTTTGTGTCATATTTCACATTTACGAGTTTGAAAAACGACGTGAATCATTTGTCGCGGTTGAATGTCACTATTGAATTTATATAGGATCATTTATCACGTTTGAAACGTCACTGACGAACATTTGTTTCTATTTCGCGATCATAAATAACTTGCGTGATTTCTGAAATGAGAAGCGCATGTCTAGAGACTGAAAAGATAACAATTCTGCATAAATATCGGCATCCCCGGGAAAGATTGTTTGGAGTATTGATTAGTTGAAAAAGTCAGGATGAAACGACTAGCAGAATGACTGTACTATTGACAATCTATATAGAAGATATTCGCGTTGCTATAAATCGTGGAAAGAGGCGAGAGGAAGATTTCGGGGGATACTTGAGTAAATTAAGAGATCAAAATTTAATAGAACGCGAACGGCTGGAATCGGGACTTGAAAAATTAAAGTGATGGAGGAAATCTCAAGAGAGCGGAAATCTCGAACACCTAACATTCTGTAGCAGTGATCTTTGTACGTATTAAAGCAAACGCTTTAGGGGTATATTTTATGAAAAAATAATTAATTAATTAATTAATTAATCTTTATTTTATTTTTTTGACTTGCGTAGAAATGAAATATCTGTTTATAGTTCGAACGACATACTGCTTGGATTTGTAATGTTTAACAATTTAGAATTTTAAATAATATATCATTTTCGGGCAGTATGTCAAATAAATATGAAATTGAAGTTGTTTCCAGTTAAGATATCTCAATGTCAGTACGTTTTGTAAAGATAACAATTTACTAGGATCTGTTTTTTATAAAGTTCGTTAAATTCTACTCTCCGTTACTGTTTGCTGCAATATGTATACACACACAGATCTCCCTGTTCCACATCACGAATTCGAACACGACAATCAATGAATCGCGAAACATTTCTATTTCAGTATAAGATCGCGAACACGTTAAAGTCATCGAGGTTTTGAATTTTGCACATTACCACCAATCCCTGTCATTCTCAAATGTCGACTTTTCTCTCGGAGCTCTCGATTGGATCGAGCGTGAAAGGACACGCGTTACTTTTCGTAGATGGTCGATGTCAAAGAGACACGCTTTGTTATCTTGATAATAAGGCGAAAAGCGAAATTCTTCCGGCGCTTGTGGCGCTTCGCGATGAGAAGCAAGATGAGAGCAGGTTTTAACGAGTAACACGATCCTTAACATGACACTGGCCCACGGCAATCGGATTAAGTGCTTTTGATGGAATTGACCGAAACTGGATATGGGGTTTTTTGTGACGCTAATTAACACGTATCGTTCCGAACATTCGCGGAAGATATAAACGGACAGATGGGTGACAATTGAAAATGTGAGCTTTATTACGAGAGAGAAAAAATATTATCCCACAGTGAATATCACGATTAACGCATTTTTCATCATTAATTCTAAATTTGAGAAATTTAAGGAAATAAAGATTACGATTAAGATTATGTTATAAAACATAAAGGAATCGAAATGATATAGAAAGAATCTGATAAAAATAAGAAGAAATATATGTATATATACTATATATATATTAATACTTTTTCAATAACTTTAAAAGATTATTAAGATAAAGAATATTGTATAATTATCGCGACGTAAATGTTCAATTATATATAGCAAAAGATTTAATTATTATTTAAGATGGAAACGTATCTTTGAATGCTAAGTTTAGAGGCAAAACACTATGTCAGTTGAGCGATATCTGTTAAGAGGCGTCCCGATGGCACTCCGTAGAATGGTGCTAGCCGGAATATCAGGCAATTTGCGTTGATGACTCTTATCGTAAGAGAAAACGATGGGTACTAATTGCATAGTATATTTAAAGTAAGCGTATAGTCTTTAAGGTAACACACGCGTTTATGCTCATAATTTTCTGCTTGCTCGACGATGCTACGATCGATTCTCGATCACCCCCCCTCGCGGATTCGAGACCCTCCTCGAGCAGGCAGCCGAGATTTTAAGTAAGACTCTAGTCCTGTATATACGTATATAAACGAAGATATCAGTCGAGAAGCGTGCGACGAGTTTAAAGCATCTTCGAACTCATTTCACGCTTATGATTGTAATCGACGAGGAAGAGATATCGCAGATGTACGCGCTTTATGAGCTTACGGTTGTATCGAGATAAAAAGGATATTGTTAACTCTTTGGGGATACGTTGCCGTAGAAGAATATATATTATCCCTTTACAGGGATTTACCATTTAATCGTTATTTTGTATAAAAAGATTAAGAGGAAAGAATCTTAAAAATCGGTCTTTTGTACTTTTTATTTTAGATATATATATGCTACGTAGTTATTTATTTTTTAACAAACGCAAAATCCGCTCGAAGAGTTAACAAATGGATGTATATGCGCTTCTGTCCATCTAAAAGAATCGAAGTTGTGAATCGCGAAATCGCACGAGGCGAGGTATATCGATATCGCGCATCCGGATACTCAGACCAACCAACGCCAGAATTTAATTATAAACGCGCCTTTGTATCCCTTGATACGAATAACGAATATTAACGACGCTACAGCTGAGATGGGCGATCTCAGGTATATCGATCATCGAAACGCCGGCGGATGAACTCGTGAACTTTCGCCCGTTTCACAATTTCGATTCTGTTTCGGGGCTTTAAAAAAGTATACGGTGCATAATCCGGAGATCCGCCTACGTGCTCCTGTGTCAACGACGTGCTAGTTATTCCACGGGTTTGATCGAGGACCTCTCACACCCCCGGAATTGAGTCTGTGTTCGGCCGAAACTGTCACGAACTGTTTCGCCCGAGAACTCGAAGCGGACGCGCTTGAGTTTCTGGATATATTCGACAATATATTTACATTAATCGTAACGGTCTAGTAACGCATACACGTGTATGTAGCTCACTCAATAGCATTTGTTCGTGCTGTCGTATAGGATAATGATTGGAGGTGAAGAAAGATGTTGCGTGTGGGCGAGTAATCGCGCAGGCGGTTCATCGAAATCATTTGATCCACGAGTAGAATCGGTGATTTCGACTGGACGCCGTTTATTTCGAGGATGGCGCAAGTCGAATTCGATTTAAAAAAAAGATTACATAATCCGTACTCCGGCTATCGCATTTTAATCCCTGATTTTCAGGTCGGAACATCTGGAAATGCAGAGTCGCCTTGTATTGGCGTAATTTAATCCGGTGTAACGGTATTCACTCTAAATCGCTTCGATAAGATTTCCATGGATTTGATTTGTGCCATCGTCGTAATAAGCGGCCCTAAGTCACGAGTATGAGAGACAAGGGAAGCGTGTGCCAAAAAGTAGGACAAATTTCTCTTTGCGCGGGACAAAACGGATGTTTCGTGTATCTTCTTCTGTTTTGCTCCATTTCGTCCCACTGTTCCACTTTTGGCCAGAGCCTAGATACGGCATCTGGAATGTAACGTAATATCGCTGAAAATGAAATCCACAATTGGATGGATTCCAGGACGTTTCCCCGCGAGAATTCTCATCAATACTGGCCCAATGTCTTCAACAAGATGGAACAGTGGGATCGGGGTGGGGTATAAGCTCGTAAAGAGCTTATGAGAGACACTTATGTGAGAAATTTGCCGAGAGCGATGCTTTTACTGTTGAAGAGATTCAGTGCAGCAGTGGACGAACTCTTTTCGGAATTGGAGGAAATAAATCTTACAGATATACGTCTTTTAATTTTAACCTTGGATTTTTAATTCGACAGAATTGAGATTTAATTTCCTCAGATTCTCAAAGCAATGTGTTTGGCCATGTGTTTTCGCTAAAGCGTTTGAATTTACTTCAGCGACACAGGTCAGGTCGAGTCATTATGCTCAAGTTTCAATAGAGAGACTCGATCCCGCATTCTCTCGCTCCGTTCTCCTCCAATCGGTCGATTTTGTTTTTATTTTCGCGATGTTAATTTCCGAGCGGGGTGATTTGAATGAATTGCTTCAACGTCGGCGAGGCTCAAGGTCAGAAATTAACGCGACTCTCGTCGCTCTTCGTCGGACACATCCTTGCCCGGATGGCGGAGAGTGCATTCTCACGTTGCAGTCGGTGATGGCAGAACTTCGGTTACGTAGATAAGGGTGATACGTTTTTTTTTTCTCTTCTTTAGGCGAATTGTGATAGAACGCGTAGGCACGTAAGCCATAAGATTGATTCAAATGACTATACTATAATTACGATTTTAATTCTTACTTATACGAAGCCGATAAGCCAGCAAGTTTGCCGAGTGCAGTTTGCCGCGAGCGATTCGCGCGGTAAGCGCCTACCGTGCTGTAACTAGAATAATTTCTCCGCGATCTGAGAGACGAGTTGAAAATAACTTCCTCTCGCTTTTGTAATTTCAAAGCTCGCGACGCTGCAACGCGAAAGTGGATGAAATCTGCTTTAAAAATCAATTTGCAATTAAAGTTTTTATAAAGAGTACATTCGTTGCAAACTTACGAAGTTAATTGTTAAAAAAGATAATATTTTATCTCTTAACAGGAGATAATTAATCTATGCTAATGAAGTCGGTTCTAATTATATTAATTAATAATAACAGTGTAATTACCTTGAAAGGTAAATGATCCTCCTTCACAGAAGATTAAGCGATTTACGTCCATTTCCACCAGTGCGGATTAACTTTAATCTAAATTACTTTTTATCTTTTTCTAATTCTTAGAACTAGAAAAAGATAAAAAGTAATAAGTCTGCATGAAATGGATGATAGTCCGATGGCATATCCGCGTGAAAACAAACTGACAAACAGGCGAACCGCACTTGTACGACTCTTGCTTGCCTAAAGGCTTCCACGTGACATATATGTAAGCGTACGATTTAAAGACGTATCGTCATTTCGAATCGAGTCCATCCGGCGGGACTCGTGCGACTCGCATTCACGGTACTTTTACGATATACATATAATTATACATATAGCCAAGATATATAAAATTTTACGACACATCAGGATGAGTTTTATAGCTGTTGATTATATTATAAAGAGGCTGATTAAGTTTAGATATCGTTCCAGTGTACTCGATACATTTGATATAATGCAGTTAAAGATATTCGTATGGTAGATACGCGTTATTATTATTATCATCATTACCACCGTAGTTATACTTACCTTAAGATAAGTACCCGACAATTTTGTCCTCTTTCTTAGCCGCATTCGACGCGACGCTGACGCCACGACGAATAGAGAATAAACGAAGTATCTTTAGAATAGAACGCTTCATCTTATCTATTACGATTAAAATTCGATAATAGTGTCATTGTCATTATATGAATATCATCAACTCCATTGCTT